TATAATAAAATCCTACATTCATAGCAACTTTATCTCTATGACAATAAGCTAATATGAGAAATGAATGAATTGAAGAATTTATGGCAAAAATAAAAGCAAAAATGAACAATCCAGTTATCAATATTATCAATAAAAGTGTGAAATGTGTTTCAAGTGTAATAAAATTTAAGAATAATGCAGTAAATATAGTTATTAATAATAGTAGAATTGTGAATGGTACTAATAAACGACCACTTTTTACGGGATATATTCCAAGTGGTTTTAGAATCAACTGAGGAGTGCTGGATTGTATCGTTCCATAAAATATTATCCAACCAGCAAGGAGTGCACCAGTGCCAAGATATGACCTACGATTAAATCATTGCAAAAATTACCGATAATAAATTTAATTTTACATGGAATGTCATATAAACATTTCTTACCATCCAACTGGTCCTCTCAGAAATAGAGGCAAAGGTACCTAAATAAAAATTTTAAGATATATAATCATACATATAGCACGATAATGAATTTCCGATAACCATTATACTAATTAATCGGAATTAGTTACCTCAAACCAAAGATCACGTGAACCAAATAAAAACATTCTAAAATATTTACATCTCTTCCCTAAATTGAAAGAATAACAGAGTTAGATATAGAAACATCAGTGTTTATGTACATGGTGATAATACCTTATCAAAAATTTCTTTAAATGTCAGCTTTTTCTTCGATTTGCTTACAGCCAAATCATAATCAATATAAATCAAAGCGAAAGGAATAATTATTAAATTCATGATCAACAGTATCAGCAATGCGGGAATATAACCTGTATATAGTAATAAAAGAGCACCCCAAATGAATCCAGCACCTTTTACAGAATTTTTTGCACCTGTTATCCAAGCTACCAATTTGAATAATGAAGTTTGATGAAGGCTGTCATCCTTTGTTACTAATTTTGTTACAGATTTACCAGCAAATCCTTCGCTATTCCGCTAAATCCTTGAGCAATGGTGACATATATTATGATTATTAGTGAACTCCATGAACTCCAGTATCCTTGTAGACCGCATAACATTGCTATTCCGATAACCTGAACAAAAAGACCGGAAACAAGGCAGACTCGAATACCTAGACGTGATCCCATAATACCACCTGTAAGGTTTATAATGACACCAAAAAATTCGTATAATGTAAACATTATAGATATTTGTAGTGCCTATATTTTAAATACCATGTAAGTTTTTTCATTAACATTGATAAATAAGAAAATAGAAATGAGCAAAATTAATAAAATATTTTTAAATACATTGAAATGTCGATCATATAGTTGCAGCAACACAATCATTCGAAGGCCAGAATCTGTAAGTGTGAAAAATACATATCCAAACGAAATTACATAAAAATTTCTCATAACCACCACATTGCTACTTTCTTTTTTCAATTCTGAAGTATTTGAATTCTCTTTAATATTTATTTTGTGGGGTTCAACATGCACTTCATTTTGTGACAAAGTCGATATTATATTAGTTTCGTAATTCGTTGATTCAAACTGTATTTCGGATTTTTCTGACATTTTGTGATAAATCACTAGAGTTAAGGTTTTTCATAAAAAATAACAATTTATATATAAATTTATGTGCCGCCAGGAGAAAGCCTATAAAATCATCACCTTACAGGTCTTAAATCCAGTCATCACAAAAGTATCAGAAAATTTGCCTTTAATAGCAAATTAGAATTCTTATTTGATTGACTAAAACAAACCCCATTGTGTCATGATGGTTGAATCTGGTTTTTTTGATATTACGTATGCATTGATTTGAATTTTGGGATTATTAATTAATTTCTGCAATACGGTTGGTTATCTGGACTAAAATTACTGTACAACATCGAACAATTAGAAACAAATATGACGTATGTACTCATCATCCGATTGTCGGGACATTAATTTGTATTTTTAATTAATTTCTGCAATACGATTGGCTATTTGGATTAAAAATTACTGTATAACATGCATATACGAAATGTTAATAATTACTGAATTGTCAGATTATCGAATCGACATCAATTTGAATTTTGGAATTAATAATTAATTTCTACAATGCGGTTGGCTATCTAAATTAAAATTTACTGTACAACGTCGAACAATTAGAAACAAATATGTATAACGATTAACATGCATGTACGTAGTAGTTATTATCCGGTTATCGGATCGAATGATTAATTGGAAACAAATATGTATTATAACGATAACGATAACATGCATGTACATAATGATAGTAACGGTAAGGGTGCCTGTCCAATTAATCTAACCAAAATCAGCGGTCAGCTGCTTACAGTAGCTAATAAAAATTTATTGATCACGCAGAAATTATAAATATTAAAATTAATGTGTAATAACCTATGTATCTCCCAGAAAAAGACCTAATAAGATGAAGTTCCGAATATGTGAGCTACCAATAGTCCTCAATTTTCATGAAACAAATTGACCAAAAAAATAATATTAATAAATTATTTGCGCGAAGATCAATGGAAATAACTGTCTATCCAGATATCACATAAAATTTTTAATATGGTATCAAATAATCGGCGCACCTAATTTTATATGTAAAATTTAGAAAAATTTGTATTTGACGATAAAGAAATTGTTGGTTTAATTTCTGGGTATCATTTCGCAAATTCTCTAGCATTCGAAGATTCTTGCGAAATTTTAGTTGATTATAAAAGATTCTTGGTTGCCAAGATAATAAGTGATGTACTGTACGTCATTTATCCCAAATAAGGGGTCGTCTAAAGCGAGAAGAATCACGTGATGCATGCCCAATCAAATTATAGAATTTTGACGATCGCTGGCGAAGCAAAACATGAAAGAAAAGCAAAAAAATTTTGAAAAATACAAAAAACAACAGTCTAAACCTACCTTGGATAGGTTAAGTAAAAATGACGGGAGAGCAATTTTTGCTAATATAACTGTGTTTAAATCCTGCCTAACCTTAATCTAAGATAACCTTAACCCTAAAGTTAAATTTAATAAAATATATATTACGTATAAGAATCTACTCCGCTTTAGACGTCCCCCCAAATAAGTAATAAGATACGTCTGTTCAATGTTTCCTTATTACCTATTTTGGGGTCAGCATATTTAATATAGACACGACCAAGGCGGCCACCAATTTTACGGGTCATGTAGGTAGCCCACCTGCAGCAATTGTTGCAAACGAACTAGTATTGGATTCATAGTGCTATCGCTATGAAAATTGTGACACTGTATTCCGTAGAATCGGTGGCCGCCCTGGTCGTGTTTTCAATATATGGGGTGCCTCGTATTAAAAGGCCATTTTGCAAACATATATAAAATTTTTTACTTTTTCATTTTATGGATTTTTTTATTACATAATTAGCCTCTGTTACTTATAGCAAACTTTTTTATTGAAGATATATCTATTCAAAATCAAATAAAAATAGTTTTTTGAAAAATTGCCAAAATGGGCCTTTTTAATACGAGGCATCCATATGATCTACATACTGTATAAATTGCATTCTTGATATCTATAAAACCAACAAACCCTAATTACATCAAAAAAATAACTCTAAAACTCTCTTCGCTTTGGCCGACCCTTATTTGAGGTAATCACTTATTATCTAACAGTAAAAATCGTAAAAAAATTGGTCAACTTCGTGACCAAGATTCTTTTGCATTTTATTTATAATCACCCTTAAGATTTCACAAGAACCTTCGAATGCTAGAGAATTTATAAAATGATACCCAGAAATTAAATAATTCCTTTATTGTCAAATTGGCCTAGAAATCATTTGATTCTATATTAAAAAATTTATACACCTGATCTGCGTGACATCTCCATAGACTGAATAAATTTCAACCAAACCCAGAACAAGATGAATGGATTTAAATCTGTACGTGCTTGGTCAAGATTAATACATGTATATAGAGAAATAATTAATTTATTAATACATCACAGGTCGAAATAAAGCAAATCAGGCAAATATCATAGCACTTTTGGTCCTGATATGGTCCTGATATGACACTGATTAATGGTTCGAATCATGTCATTTTCAGGTTTATATCAGAACTAAAAGAGCTATCAGTATAATTAAAAGGCTATCGATAAAATATCAGAACCTGATAACTTTTAAAACTTTACTGATAGCTCTATTAGTTCCGATATGAACCTGAAAATGACATGATTCGAGCCATTAATCAGTGCCATATCAGGGCCATATCAGGACCAAAAAAGCTATTATATTTGCCCGATTTGCTTTATTTCGACCTGTGCATCTTATTATGACCTAAGAATTTCATTAAGATATGGGGTCTTTCACATTAAAAGGGCCAACAATTTTGTGTAATCATTTGTTTTGATTTTCGGACTGTTCCGGGATTAAGCAAATTTCACGATTTGATTGGTTAAACTATCGGGTAATCTCGCGATAGGCTTGGCTTCGGGTGATTTTTCTTTCCATTTTTTATTATGCAAATCACCTTTCATTTATAATTGAAAAATGTCAGCCATGTCAAAATTTACATAAATCCAATAAAAACTCACTTTTGAAAAAATTTGCAAAATGGGCTTTTTTAATGTGAAACACCCCATATAGTTACTTTCATAACCTTTGTTATAAAAGATAATTTAATCAAATTAAATGTTTATTAGAAAAGGATTATACAATAAAATCTTATCTTTTCTTTCCGAATATTTAAATAAAATTTGTCTCAAAATAATTTTTATATAATTGTACTTCATATTAATATTTTAAATATTAGGCTTATTTATTGAAATAAAAGGAAAGACATAAAACATATATCATAGGGTGGATATTGAATCTACATGTATTACAATACAACTGTTGATGTTAACGAATTGAATTTAATGTATTAATGCAATTAGAAGTATTGCTTTATATCGAAGAAAATCTTATATCTGTTGGTGTTCTTTTACCGAATGATGAGAAATTAAAATATGTCATCATATTTTCGTGTGTTGTTTTACAATAAACCCTTTTCATGAAATTTCTTCAAATTTAATGTGTTTGTGTAATAAATTTTCATTAGAAGTTTCTTCTAATGAACGACCTTTTGTTTCTGGAATTAAATAAGAACATAAGAATCCCGCAAATGCAAATGCTGCAAATATTTGAAATAAATAGCTTATAAAATGATTTTTTCCACCAATGTCTTTAAGAAATAAAAGAAATAGTTGTGCAACAACAGCACCGAGTTTTCCACTCGCAGCTGAAATTCCGTAACCTGTACATCGATACCGAGTTGGAAATACTTCACTAGGTACAACGAAAGTGGTCGTGTTAGGACCAAAGTTTATAAAAAACTATTAAAAAAATCCAAAAGCAGGAAAAGTAAATGTTAGTCAATGTAAGTAAAATAAGGTGATGTTATTATGCATACCATTGATATTGTAAAGAGGATGGTAAATATTAATGGGGGGATTTCTATATGAAAGGAGATCCCCAAGACCAAAAAAAGGACTGTGAGGACAGCAAATCCCATTTGCTGAATGAATCTCCGTCCTAGTTTATCTATTAATAAGATGCTACACCAATATCCAGGTACGGTTCCCAGTGCGGTCACCGCTATGTTACCAACCGCAACATTATATAAAGACTGATATGGATCCGATGCATTGTTTAGGTTGATAGCATTCAGTATGATCCCTAGATTTGAGAGGGACATAATTAGGCGATCAACAATTAGAAATTTAGTCATTGCAATTCTTTACCTTGGTTAAACCCAATCCCGTAAAATCCCACATCAATGGCAAACCATGTGAAGCTAGTAGCGAGAAGGATCTTTCCATTCTTCCACCTACCAAAGTATTCAGATATAAAAAATTGTTAAAATAGTTCATTATACACAGTATATATATATCACCAATTACCTCGAAAATCCTTCAATGTAGCTTTATGTGGTTCCACTAGATAATGTTTTTCAAATTGTTTATTCCTTTTATAAGTACCGTAATGGAGAAGATCTTGTACCTCTGCATATCCTTTTTTAATATCTCCTTTGACATCCATAATAAAGCGCGGTGATTCTGGGATTGTCAATCGAAAGAACAACACTCCGATGGCCGGAATAGAACCAATCCCAAAGATAATTCTATATAAAATTGATGCAATCAACATTTTTACGGAATACCTTGAAATTTTAGATTCAAAATTTATATTGTAATTGTATTACATGCCTCCAGACATAGTCAAGATAATGAACATTATTTTGTATAGAAGATTTAAATGATAATAAGGTCAGGATAAAAACCAGACCTGCCGATAATATGCCAATTCCTTGCATTGCGAATACCAATGATATCATTAACCCGCGTCTTTTTTTAGTAGCAAATTCACTGGCGATAACTAAAAAGATTCAAAATATTAGAATTGTTTAAGCAACATCTTAAATTCTTAAGATAGTAAATATTTAAATACCAGCAGATAGTACGTAATCTCCTCCAATGCCCATGCCCAAAAAGATACGCCAAAACATTATTTCTGAAAACATGTTCATGGCAAAGGAATTTGCACAAAGAGCTAAATTTGAAAAAAAAAGGTCATACAATATTGAATAGATAGTGGTTTAAGCATAAACACCGTTATTCTACCTGATCCCACAGCAGCCACAATAATAATAATGAGTTCAAAACCATACATCTGGAAAAGAATAAATAAGTAATGAACGCATTAATGTAAAAATACATCAAAATAATGTAAATACAAACTTTTTTACGACCATATCGATCAGCCATCCATCCAAATAACAATTGTCCAAGGATAGCTCCAAATGTCGCTGAAGACTTCAATCCAGTATCGATGCTTACGGGCACAGCATTATCATTATCCATATAATAAGCATATCCAAAGATTGCTGAGACAAGATTAATAGAAAATAAATGATAGGCGCTCGTTAAAAATCCTGCACCCGCAATTATACATATGCGAAGATGAATAAATTTAAATTCTGCATTATCAATCTTTGCCAATGCATCTCTCCTTGTAACATCATAATCTACTACTATATCTCTTGATAAAGGTGTATTTTTAACCGAATCTTTTATAGGATAATGCGTAAATTCTGAAAAATCTTCAGACATTATTTATAATGATATTTTATGACGCTACTTTTTATTTAATGAATGTGTTAACGACTTTAGACATTCAACATTAAATTCGTATTTAAATAGAAGGAATAAATATGAAATAATTTTACCCAATAAAAATCCAAGATAAAAACGTGTCAGAAAAATTTTAAAGTTGACAAAAATCAAGTAACACCAATATCGATATAGAATTAAAATTTAATGGCAGCAATCTGATTGGCTATTTAAATTTAAAATTTGCAATTAAAAATAAACTTAGGGATCTATAAAAATTCGTGCGATATTCACAAATCACCAATATTCAGATTCTAGTCTAGATATCTCGATAAATTTATAAGGTAAAGGGGTATTATGACGCAGGTAATTTTTACAACCGATATCATGTGATCTTGTGATTAGAATCGAATGGTGCCAAGATGCAAAACATTCATTTTTGATACTTCTGCACCTACTTTTTTGATACATCTAAACATACCGTAAAAATTCTATACTTTTTACTAACTTTTACTATAATAACGTGCGACCTTATTGGTTAGTTTTAGGTGTGTTTAGATGTATCAAAAAAGTAGGTGTAGGAGTATCAAAATGTAAGTTTTGCTGCCAAGATCGTTTGATCCGAATCACTATATCACAATATATTACAAATTAAATAATATTAATGCGCTTTACAAAAAGTGTAACCCACAATTTTCGTGATAACGATAATGGGAAATTTCGGAGTTTTTAAATAGCCTATCAGTCATATATTCAATCGGTAATATTTCTATCTATTTGAAATCTATAAAATTCTCTTAGAATTGAAAAATCGTCTAATTTCCTGTCACTTTCTTGCAAAGCGCAATAATTAAAAATTACGTATCCGATTTTTATGAATTAAATAGACGCTATTTTAGGTAAATGTATTTCACTGTAAACAAATGGTAAAAATCGTAAAAAAATTGGCAAATTTCGGGGCCCAAATCCTTCTCAAGTTTATTTTTAAACACTCTTGAATTTCATATTGACTTATATGTTAAAATTAAAATTTGTAAATAAAAAATTTGTTTATGTCGTGATCCGGCAATTAAAATTGGATGATTTACCTCATAGGCAGAAGTTTGTCTGATTGGCTAATAAATTCAATTTAATTTTACATTATTTATCAGTTAAGAGTACTTTTTTTAAAAAAAAAACGAAAACCAATCATTACAGATGGTTTTAGAACTCCATAGCCAAAAATAAGATCTAATTCTCGTCCGTTTAAAAAAGTTAGTATAGTAACTTCTCAAAATCAATTTATTACTAAGCCAAATTTTTTAAACGGACGAGAATTAGATCATATTTTTGACTATGGAGTCCTACAGTCTAATGAAACCTTCTATATAGTTTTTTTTTTTACTTTATTATGGTTGGTTTTCGTTTTTTTAAAAAAGTATTCTAAACTGTATAAATAATATTAAATTGAATTTATTAGCCAATCAAACGAACTTCTGCCTATGAGATTTTACCACTACCCGATTCGTCTCTATGAGACGAATATAATTATAATAAAACCATCCGATTCTGATTGCAGGATCACGAGATATACACTCTTTTACAAATCTTGTATTAAGTTAGTGTAAAATTCAAGTAGCACCAATATAGAATTAAAAATTAATTGCTATAATCTGATTGGCTATCTGCTATTAAAAATTGCTATCATTATTATTTTTCTATTATGCTATGTAAAAATTCGTGCAACAACTGCAAGTCGACAATTCAACAATAAAAATTTGCATAAAAGGCATAGATATATCGGTAAAATTCATCTTTATACACTGTATTTATACTAAAAACAAGATGGCCATTAAAATTGGTATAAATGGGTAAGAAATTTGTAGCGAAATGTAGGGATGATCTTATAAAATGAGCATTCACACAATTTTTTAGTTTTGGAAGAATAGGACGACTTGTTCTTCGCGCTTGTTTAAATAATAAGAATGTTCAAGTTGTTGCTTTAAACGATCCATTCATTAGTCTTGAGCATATGGTGAGTGTTTCTGTCGATCTAAACTAGTTTTTTAACATCAAATTCGTTAGGAAATAAAAAATACCTTGATATCATACTATTGAACCCAAAAATAAACATCAAACACTTTAGATTTGTTGTCCTGCAAAAAGTATTCGGACAATTGTAAAATTCCGTATGATGTAACTTTAGTCAATATGATTAGCTCGAATTCTTATAGGTGTCCGGATTATACATGGGTGCCTAAATTATTTTTGAAAAATCGTATTTTCGGCAAACATTTCGACATTGCTAAATTTTTTATATGAAACCCTTCGAAATAACTATATTATATGATGTATTTTGATGAAAAGAGTTCAAAACATTTCGGCAATAATTTCGGCAAATATTAAAATTAATTTCGGCATTATATAAAACTAATTTCGGCTGCCTAAATGCCGTAATTACTTTTTTATTAAGATGGGCAATTTAGGCACCCATGTATAGTCCGGATACTTTTTGCAGACCAGCGTACAGAATCATCTATTTTACAAATCTAACAAAAGAAATTTATATTTCCGTATAAGTAGCTTTACTTATTCAAGTATGACTCTACTCATGGACGTTTCAAAGGTCAAATTGAAACAAAAAATGGAAAATTCCTTGTAAACCATTATGAAATTTCTGTTTTTGCCGAAAAGAACCTTGTGACATCAAGTGGGGAGAAGTTGGTGCTGATTATATAGTTGAATCATCCGGTATCTTTAAAACTATTGAAAAAGCATCACTTCACTTGCAAGGTATTAAATCAATGCATTTGTTTTGTGATCGATTATTGCTTAGAAATCAAATATAATTTTTTTTTAAATTTAATAGGGGTTTGTTTGAACTTTGACTCCCTTCTTGGATAAATGATTCATATTCTTTTTATAATAAATTTATTATTTTTTACTTGTTTTGCATGATAAACTACATTCTAAACAAACATAATAGGGTGCCAAAAAGGTAATTTATTTCATGGGAAAATTATTATGAACATGATTATGCTGCTACACTAACTATAAATGTAAAATCAGGTCATCATCAGCGCACCAAGTGATGATGCACCGATGTTTGTTTGCGGCGTAAATTTAGAATCCTATAAATCCGAATATAAAGTGATCTCAAACGCTTCTTGCACTACAAATTGCTTAGCACCCATTGCTAAGATTCTTAATGATAATTTTGGTATCGTTGAAGGATTAATGACAACAGTTCACGCGCTCACAGCAACCCAAAAGACTGTCGATGGTCCTTCTAGCAAGGCATGTGTAATGCGTATAATTTTGTCATAATTAATTATAATTAATTAACGCTTAAATTTGTTTGCAGGATTGGAGAAGAGGCAGAGGATCTTGTATGTTATAATAATACTATTAATCTTATAATTATTGCACAATTAAATTCTAATACTTTGAAGCACAAAATATTATCCCAAGTTCTACGGGGGCTGCTCAAGCAGTTGGTAAAGTCAGTATATCTGTAGATTTCATCATTATTTAGTTCCATATGGTGTTATTTACATTTATATTCTTACATACCTGTTCTTTCATAACTTTTCCTGCATAATTATTTAGGTAATTCCATCATTATATAACAAACTAACAGGATTGGCTTTTCGGGTTCCTGTTTCCGATGTTGGCGTGGTCGATTTGACAGTTCGTTTGAAAAAAGAAACCACCTATGAGGAAATTAAAAAAATTATGAAGCATTCTTCTGAAAATGAACTTAAAGGAATTCTTGGATATACTGAGGACGAGGTAAGTTTCATATTTGTCACAAAGATTGTAACATTTAATTATTTATTTATATCTTACAACTAGGTTGTTTCATCGGATTTCATTGGCGATACTCATTCCAGTGTTTTTGATGCTAAAGCTGGTTCGTATTATTGCAAAATAGATAAACAATCATACAATAGCCGATAATTGTTATTTTCAAATATTTTTACAGGAATTCAATTGAGCCCTACATTTATCAAAATTATTGCATGGTCAGATAATGAATGTAAGTTATTTTTTATTATTACTTTTCTTATAACAAAATTAATTTCTTTTATAATTTAAATTTTAGTTGCTTACTCAACAAGAATTGTTGACTTGATCGAATATATTGTAAAAGTAGATTCATCAGCTTAAAATGTCAAAATTGCTTGTTTTACTATTAACTTATGTCTTATGCAATTTAGTCAGAATATTTAATTTACTAGGTTTATTTATTTATCCATAAGTCTAATTGTAAAAACCTTTTGAAAATTAGGCATAGTTTTTTTAAATTAAGGCATTTAATATCTTCATGTTTTATTATGTCGGTAAATTTTAATAAATATGATGTTTTTAAAAATTCATAAATCGAGTAATGATAAATTTCATAAATAAAATAATTAAAATAAACAAGCTAACATTACGAATAACCTAAACTACTAAGTAACGGATCATAGATCAGCTTTGTAAATAAATAAAAAAAAAGAGAGAATTAAATGGCTACCGCTAGGTCACATAGTATTTAATTGAAAACATTTTTTTTTACGTACAGTTCTTTAAAATTATTTTTAAAATATAAACACGTAATATATAATAATTTTCTTAAATTGAGCAATACATTAAGTTGCTATTAAATGTTCTCAATGTCATCTAAGTTTAAAATTATGATCTTTTATCAATCAGTGATTCTTTTTTGGATGTAGATGGTTGACATCCGTTATAAATATTAATTGCATCAGCCGCACCATCCCAAGACTGACGCCCAAATAAACGATACTAAAAGTCCAAAAAATAATTAATTAAATAGCTAAGCGTTAAAGACACATTTTCAGCCTCATGAGGTGAATAAATAAACTTGCCTGGATAGCAGTAGGAACACCAAATAAAATTTTCCAATACATATTAATGCCATATCTCCATAGAGTTTGCAATGAATACGGATAACAACCTAGAATTTTTGCTAAATGAGAAAAGGATAAATTGTTGTTAATATTGTAATAATCAAT